AATACATACTGGGCTTAGTGTTGATACAAGTAAACAACCAAAAAAAAGAAGTTTACAGTTTTTACAGTTACAAAGAGCTTTTACCTTCGAACAAAGAAAAGTTTCGAATCAGCCTCTTTACGTTTGTAGTGACTTTATTACGAATATTTTTTTGCTAGCGGATAAGTATGTTGGAAGAAAGTAAACTGACTATGAAAGAACAACGGAAGATCTAAGAAAAAGAAAGCGGAATGTATTATAACAGTATGGGAGGGGGGAATTAAATGATTACTTAGCAAATGTGTCCAGCAGTGCCGAGTGGTAAAGTCCCTAAACACGGGTAGCTCGGTCCGAGGTTCGAATCTCACGAACGGGCTGGCTGCATAGCCGTTTTCATGTAACGTGTTAATACGAGCCCGTTTCAATTAGAAAGTTCTCCACGAATGCATTCCTCCCTTCCACGTAGTCCCTTAGGGGGGGGAGCATGAAAATAATAATAATAATACTTGGGAAATGGTGCATACTTTATTAAAGTCTCATTTTCTTCGTTGTTGTTATTTATGCTCACTTGTCTGACAGTAGCATCAGCCCAAGCCCACGAAGTTCCTCGTGGCAAGGAACGCGCAAGATACGCCTGTTGTTGGCAAGAGCCTTGAACACCTTGCAAGTAACAGTGCGATTTTACTCAGTTCCGCCCCTATTTTGATGGAGAACATCCCGAGTAGGGGGGACGGGTCCGAGAGTCTCCTACCCCTCTATTTTTCCACCAAACCACATGAGAGGACTTTTGGCTCGCTGCATATTTAGAGTGCCGCCATGCCGCACTAATACTATACATTTACAAACATCCATGCCTTCTTCTAATTTATAAAAATTATTTTAAAAATAAATCATACAAAATAGACAAATTTTATTTAGAATGGATTTAAATTTCTAAATATGGAAGAAGGACTCAAATACGTTTAATTAAAAAGGAGATATTCATAAATATATATCAAACTCAATTAACATTGAGGAACTAAAACTTTGAGAGCTAATTTTTTAAATACTACCCGTGCGATTTTTACGAAACTTGGCAGTTAGGCATAATTTGAGTCGTAGAACCGAAATATGAAAACAAATTCGCATGTCATTTCAGAAAAAGTCCGTTGTGTCAAAATAGCTATATTAGAACAATGCTATATATAAATCTAATACATATCCTAAGTCGCGCTTTCGAAACATGAAAAACGCAAGTTGAATTTCGTCAATCGGCCCAGTAGACGGGAGATATAGAACTGTCCCTTCCCTTCCTCCCCCGCAGTGTACCTGTGGCTCTATTAACACCCAGACGCAAATAAGGGAACCCCATAAAATAAGATGTAAGTGTATATTATTACTGATGTATGTAGTCTCGGTATCAGTCTATCATTAATAAACATTTAGATAATTATGAAATGCTTGGTACAGTAAGGATCCACATAAGCGTTTCTGAATCTTTTTTATCCTTGACATAAATACGTTCTTGACTTTGCTTTTCAGTTGCATATTTCTTTGCTCCTGATGAAGAGGGACTTTGTTCGCCCTCGAAATCGATAAAGTTTTTATGCTAAATATCTATGCCTAACACAGGCATAGATTGCAACCTAATAATGCTGCCGCTACCTTTATACAGATCAGAAGGAACGATTTTGTCATCTAATAAAGTTGCCGCTACCTTTATGTAGATCAAAAAGAACGATTTTGCAACCTAATAATGGTACCAGTACTTTTATGCAGAAGGTGCAGGCCCCTTTATGGATATCAGAAGGAATGAATTTGCAACCTAATAATGGTTCTGATACCTTTATACAGATCAGTTTCTAACTTGGAAATACACACACACACACACTTTTATTAAGGTGTAAGTACCCTTATGCCTGCGACCTTAAGAGGAAAAAGTTAAAAAAATCACAGGTTTTTACTTTTATGATTTAGTTTGAGGCATGTTACTTTTCCGATATGTCCACATCCCCCCGGCGGTCGACGTAGAGAACTCTGAGAAGTTATCGGCCAAGGGAATATAAAATTTATGAACTTGGTGGTTCTCAAGACCCCGGAAAAGTCACTTATTGGCCGGCCCGGCGATCTGGCCAGTCCTAGAGCGGTGTGGCTCTAGTAGCCCGGGGGTAGTGCCCTCGGATTCGCAGGGTAATGTCCCACTGTGACCGGCATCCCCAGCGTCTGATAGGTAGCAAATCGACGACCAGTGCCGTCTGGGCGACGTGTCCCAGGCGGTGCGTCTGTCTCTTCAAGGTGAGAGGGCGGAAGTTGAACCTCTGTGCCTGGTTCTGAGAGGTGAGGGAACCTGTAGTGCAGTTAAGTCTCGCGGAGCAGAGAAGCCAATATCTTACTCTTACTTACTTTTCTGTCCTGATCCATTTCATGTTTGCATTTCAATTTTGTTTTGATTTCTAAGTGACATCTTCACTATTCTTTAAAAATCTTGCATAAGAAGGGTTAAGCAACGTTTAACTTAAAAGCAGCATTCCGTTGACTCCTTTTTGGAAGTTGGTTATTTGTGGTCTAACAAGTCAACTTTATCCCTTAGATCATTATCCCTTTTCTAGTCTTCATGATAAAAATGACTACACAGATTAAAAAAATAAGTGCTTCCTTGGAAAAAAACATTCATAAAAATCTAAAGCTCAAAGCACATCAAAGGAAGTTTCTGGCAGGAGGAAGCTAGTTCATCTAAAACTCTGGTTAGTTAAACTAATTAGTCCAGTCAATTTGCATAAATTTGGAAGCAGTTTATTACGGAATCCTTAGAGAATCCTTTCTTATAAAGCAAAGACTATCTACTGTTGCAAACAGTTCGTCAACTGGTGTATTGGTGTGTATTTAATTATGGCAAAGCACACTAGGGCTATCTGCCCAAGGGGAGTGATGCCTTCGGGGAGGACTTTCTAAGGGAAACTGGCTCGTATACACGTTACACATGGTGAAAACCACGAAACGGCCCATCCAGCCAGCCCATTCTCGGGATTCGAACCTCGGACCGAACTACCAGTGTTCAGCGACTTTACCGCTCGGCCGCTGGTGGGCGTTCGTCAACTGGAATTCATTCACTTGCAATTGGAGCCGTTTTATCAGTTGCAATTCTACGACCATCTCTGAAAATGATCACTATTTCTGAGAAAATAAATAAATATTAGCACATAATTATATGTTATTTTCAAAAATAACCATCCCTAATCAAACCGAGACTATCAGATATATATTATTACCACCAAAGTACCTAATTTCGGTAGTATTTTATGCAAGAAATTTATTTCTAATTTTTATGGTAAGGAACAAATTCTTTTATGTATGAAACACTAGTTGCGAAATTTTGATTCATAAATTTGATCTTCTTACATTATAGCATGATAGTCGTATACGTTTGATTTATTTTCGTGGTAAAGTAATCGTTAAAGATTCGTCATACCTTTATATCTGTTATGATAATTGCTTTAATGTGTTCCCCATACAACTAGATCATTAACGTAAATCTTTCGTTTTCTTATCTCATAGTCTTTTGATATTGGAGTTATCAGTTCACGTACTCTTTTAATATAAGCGCCGCACGAAGAGTGCTTATTCAGAGTGCTCGGCAAATATCTGACAAAATTTATGCAGTTTTGTCGCAAAATTTTTTCTCAAAAGGACCGCGTTTAGGCACCAATACATATCGCCGGTTATAGCAGTCGGTGAGATCTGGGAATAAAGTCATCATTTAACCGCTACGATTTACAACAGCATGGTTTGCTTTATAAGCTTGCAGATATTCATCTGATGTTACAAGACAGCGAGAGAAAACGGACTAGTCGCTCAAGGACTGTACAGGGAACGATTCTCGAGGAGATGACTGCCGAATCAACAAACATTTGAGCGTGTGCAACGCCATAATCTGCTGTCAGATGGGATGTGGGCCGGACTAGAACTACTAAAACTTCTAGAAGGAAGGAAACTCGTGTAGCTGGGAATTCAATCCTTCCACCAGCCCGAGAGCTGTTTCCTTAACCTATGCCTGAAGCGTTCACGCATATAGGAGATTTTCCATGAAGATTCACACGTTTCACTTACAGAGAGTAAGAACACTGACAGTGGAAGACTATCCTCTAGGTGCAGAGTTGACCCAAATGAACCTGCAACGGGCTGCACTACAGCCGGATTTCTTCACATACGCGCAGACGAAGCTACATTTACACGAGAAGGACAGTTTAATGGTCACAACGCAGATGCTTGAGAATGAAGATCAGCATGCAACAAGACCACATGCATATCAGAGAAGATTTCCGATAACTGAATTCGATAGTCTTGTGCAAAATCATTTGATTTGACAGTACATACTATTTTCTCTTGACCTGGATGGGCTCAAGTACTCAATTTTCTTCCAAGAGACATTGTTGGAATTGTTGAATGACGCCTCTGCGTCTTTTCGAAGCAAAATCTGTTTCCAACTTTGGTGCTTTGGCACTTTAGCACTCATGTCAGGAGTTACTTGGAGTACACATGCAAACCATTGGATAGGTCGAGGTGTACATATTTGTTGGCGACAACGGTTACCAGATTTGACATGTTTGGATTTACTGAGGGGAAGTATTTGAAAAACACCGCTTATGATGCCCTTGCTGACTCCGAATAAGATGTCGTCAAATTCTGAGTTACTGATGACGATGTTAGGGATATGAATGGATTTTTCAGAAAGGTACTGTCATCTATGAACCTATATTGTGTTTCTGTTGGCTGTCGCTCGTTTGAATATCTGCTGTAAAACAGCGCTCATTAAACAGCTTGTTAAATTTCCTTTGTTCTATCTTTCGATTATCTTTCACATTATCACCAGCACTTAAACTCTACATTTCTGGACTCGCATGCTATGACCAGAAGAAAATCTCATTTTAATGCCCTCTGACACCCTTTAGAATTTTGTCAGATATTTTCCGGGCACCAGAGTTCTCGGAAAATATGAACAGGTTATGTGATCAATAGGCTATGTGAATGAATGAATTTACGAAATGAATAGTGGAGGCCTTAGGAGTGACCAATGCCGTTATAGGCAAGTGACCCGCCTTGGGAAGAAAAAGTTCCTAACGCCGGTGAAAGGGAGTATTTTTCTTTAATATTCTCCCAGAACTTAGGACTTGGTAAATTCATTATGGAAATCAATGACAATTATCACTGATATTATTCTAATGTAAACGGCAATCTCCACTGAAAATCAAAATCGTTTGGAACTATGAGCATTCGTCCCTTTTTAGAGAGAGTTCTTATTAGTATTTAATTATTATACTAAGGTATTTTTCCCGCCTTCTTAGCATGCCTTCGTGGTATAGTGTTCAGCACACCCGGCGCGTTTTTCGAGAGGTCCGAGGTTCGAGTTCTGGCGAGGGCATTGCTCATTTTTTCACGTCTCCAGCATCAAAATAGCCCAATGTCTCTACAGTGGCGCCTGAACTAAAAAGGTGGTGGACAATGATTCTCCATCACCAGGATTTGGCGATTGAATCCCCTTATCCCCAGTCGCTCTTTAAAAGGGAGAGTATGTAAGGTATTTCTCCCGCCTTCTGAGCGTGCCTTCGTGGTGTAGTGGTCAGCACACTGGCGCGTGTTCGACAAATCCGAGGTTCGACTGCCGCCGACGGCATTGCTCATTTTTTACGTCTCCAGCATCAAAATAACCTAATGTCTCTACAATACAAAACAACATCTCATATATATGAAGAAGATTTATTTGCACTGTGAATATTAATCATCGCGAAAGTGAAGGTCATTCAGGATCTCACTATTGCATCCGAAATCCACTTTCGGTCTTTGTTGAGTAGAGGGGTTTGCGCAAATTCACTCATTGCAACAGAATCCTTTATTTGCACAACAATTTCAGAAACCTATTTTACAGTATTTCAGAGCTTTATGGCATTAAAATAAGGTTCCTTAACCTCTAACAAGCAATGGATTAGCTATTTCTTTCTGCGACAATCAAAATGATGTCCGTTGCTCCATTTGAACTTTTTCTCTGTCTCTTGTATTGTCGTGAAAAGATGAAGATGAATTCATAAAAGTCAAATATCAATCGAAGCTTCCGTCCCCAAGGTACGAGTGTCATAAATCACTGTCGCTTCCTAATTATTTATCCTCAGAAAATAAAAGAATGCGGGGGAATACTGATTCGAATATCACATCTTGTTGCATGGTCCGTGGGGGACTTAAGGGAGTTTCTTAACAATTACAAAATCACTTTGTCTTTTTTGCACGTTACGAATTGTTAGAAGTAGCTAATAAAATAGTTCTGAAATTCCTCTGTATAAGTTTATTCTTTTGCTCTAAAACTGAAGACGGTAACATTAAATTAATATAAAAATTATAGACATGATTCTCATACAGATGGTCTAAAAGAAATCGAAAAGCTTATATTTTCTCTTTCCTTTTTGCATGCCTTCGTTGTGTGATTGGAACCTCGACGCGTATGCGAGAGATCCAGGTTCGAGTCTCGGGGAGGGGATTGCTCATTTTTCATCTTTCTGACATTCGAAATAAATTAAGGAATTTAGAGTGGCACCCGAACTGAAAGGTAGTAGCCGATAATTCGTCACTATCAGGATCTGACGATTGAGTTTCCTAATACCCAGTCGCCTTTTAAAAGGGAGAGTATGTAAGGTATTTTCTCCATCCTTTCAACGTGCCTTCGCTGTGTCACGGTAGCACACTCGGCGCGTTTTCGAGAGGTCCAGGTCCGAGTCCCGGCGAGAGCACTTGCACAGTTTTCACGTCTCCTGTATCAAAAATTCTAATGACTCTGCAAGCTTTTCTACATAGCGAATAGTAGGAAAGCACTCGGCCAGCTGGCATTTAGAAATTGAGGAATTTAGGCATTTAGGAATGGCATTTAGAATTTTTTATTATTTTATTTAGAACTGTTGAATGATACAACTTATTCGTGTTTAAGTTAAAAAATAATAATAAATATTTTTTCTTTTAAAATTATTTCACGTGTTAATTGTGTTTAAGATACAATAACATGCCGAACAAGTATTAATTTAGAAGTCAAACAAAAAAAATCAGCCTTATATTTTCAAATTTTCACAGGACTAGTTTCGATGGTTTTACCGAACCATCATCCTCAGCTGCAAAAGCGCAAATGAACGAGATATATTGACTAGATAAGATAAGATAAGAAAGAATGGGCAGGAGTTAAGCTACTGGTGCCATCTTAAAATTTTGCGCTAAGTAACATGAGGCATATGTTAGAAAAAAGGAAACACAGAGGTCTTCTGTTGCTCAGCATTATTGGTCCGAAAATCACACTTTCAACTTTTCTGCAGCCAAAATTATTCAAAAAACATCTTCCATTGGTGAATTAGATTTTCTAGAGGCGTTTCACAATCAAAAAATTCTTTCTGTTCTAGTGAACGACTCTAATTCCAATCCATCTTTGTCTTCAGCCTTTAAGGAAATTATGTTTTAGTTCTCGTTTCATCAATAGATGGCGACAGTAGCTTAACTCCTGTCCATTCTTTCTTATCTTATCTAATCACTATACCTCTTTCATTTGCGCTTTTGCAGCTGAGGATGACGGTTCGGTAAAACCATCGAAACTAGTCCTGTGAAAATTTTAAAATATAAGGCTGATTTTTGTTATTTGACGTCTATGCTTTTGTTGAAATATAAGAAAGAATGCCCATAAACATTTTGTGTCAATCTTTTCTTTAAGAGCTGTTATTCAAATAATGTCAATGCTATGTTCCTGGGGACGGAAGCAAAAAAGCTTATTATAGTAGTTTAATTGTTCCCGTTATTGTTTATATGGCCTATATAATTTATAAACTTTTAAAATTTGGCATAAATGCTACCTTTGTTTGGCGTAGATTTTGAATAAAACTGTATTGATTTCAAGGACGATCAGACAGAGATCCCCTTTTTTCAAAACCAATAACTTTTAGCCCAGAAGGGCTATTAGTCTCGAAACAGCATTTTACGATGAATCACTGAGACCGCTGAATCACTTTTCAAACTGTTGCCACAAAATATTATCACCCTGTATTATATATAAAGAAACTAAGAATCTCATGAATGTATGTATGTTTCTCGGATTGTAAAAAAACGACGGTACCTAGAGCCATCAAATTCTGAATAACGTAGTCCTCTAACCGAACATAGGTACCTGGAAGACAGAACTTGGAATGTGTTTTATTGGGTGTATTTCATATTTTTTAAAAGTGTAGTGAATTGATTAAAAATTCAACAATTTAAAAGCGAGCAGTGGGAACACTGTGGAAAAAAAAAAAAAAAAAAAAAAAACATTTTATCTTCAGCGCGCGAGACTGTCTATAGGAAATTCTAAGATATGCAGTTTTTGAATATTTTTAGCTCATAATGGCGTTGGCCCAAGTGCACTCAAAATGTTTATGTGTTTGTAAATGAAAAAAACACCTGTTTGAGCGTAATATAAAATCTGAAAGTTGAAAGCTTATTATTCATTATTTATCTTTATTACTTATTATTTATTTATTCATTTGTCAAAAAAAGTGAATGGGGACAATCCTTTTTTATATCCAAAACAATAGATGTAGCAAAAAAAAATGCAAATGTAAATGACAACTGGTGAGGAAAATAGCAATGAAAATTCCCCGGCAGATGTAGCTACGTTCGTTTCCGTTTTGCTCTGCCCAATACTTTCGATATAAAATGGGTTTTCACTCCTACTATTTTCAGAAAACATTTTGCTATTGAAGGAAAGTGATTGCTTCCGAAACCGATAGATTTTTATCCAAATTCTACGCCAAACGAACGTCGCTTTTTTGTCTGATTTTAAACTTTAAATTGGTGTGTTTTTCTTCCAGTTTGAGTTACAAATCTTTATACACCATAATTCAATAAAATTTGATACTTTGGCAATATTTATGTATTGATATACTTAAAGAAATTTATTTTACAGGCAAAGCAGTCCCGTACGTGGAGATGCTAGCGGCTCACGGCTCCATCCTTACCATTCTAGCCATCAGCTTCGAGCGTTATTATGCCATTTGCCAACCATTGAAGGCAGGCTACACTTGCACGCAGATGAGGGCGGTGGCCATCATCGTGATCATCTGGTTAGTGGCAGCTCTTCTCACCAGTCCCGTACTCTTGACCGTCAACTACCACATGGCAGAATACATCGACGGCTCAATGGTCCCTGTCTGCTTACAAATGGTCAACAAGCGCTGGCAACAGTTCTACTACCTGAGTGTGATCGGCTTTTTGTTTCTGGTGCCCTTCCTCATCCTTCTGGTTGTATACTGCTATATTGCCAAGCATCTCATGCTGGGCCAAAGGATGCTAGGATCCTCCAGCGAAGAAAACCAGATGAGAGCCCGCAAACAGGTCGTCTTCATGCTGATTGCTGTTGTCCTGAGTTTCTTCATCTGCCTTCTGCCCTTCAGGTACATCATGACATTTTGAATGATCGCTGAGTTAATATGTGATAATTTTTATACAGTGAAACCTTGAGATACGAGCACCTCTATATACGAGAAATTCGAGATACGAGGAAAGTATGAGCGAAACATCCGTCTCTAAATACTAGCATTGACTCGAGTAACGAGCAACGAGCCAGGCTGTTGATATGCATAGCGTGTTTCCCCGTCCGGCTGGACTCGAGGAACTCCTCGTCAGATCACTCAGTATTCTTTGATCTACGTGTTTGTGCGCTCGGGAGTTAATTGTTTTTTACATTTAATGTGAAAATAATTATTTCACAATGCCTCCCAAGAAGATTGTTGCCTCAGATAGCACTGCAAAGAAAAAGAAGGAAACTGTGGCCATTGAAATTAAGAAAGAAATCATAGGTAAACATAAGGCGTGGTGCAAGAATGATGGAATTGGCAAAGCCTTGCGGCCGTTCGACATCGACGATCTGCACTATTCTGAAGAAGACGGAAGAAATTAAGAAACTTGATGTAGCCAAAGGAGTTTCCGTTACTTCCAAGCACCGTCCAAAACTCCCAGAAGCTGTTGTTTTAGTGGATTAACGAGAAGCAGTTAAAAGGCGATTCGTTGTCAGAAGCTATCATTTGCGCTAAGATTAAGAATCTGTACTTGGACCTTCTCCGGAAAACACCAGGTACGTTGACTGAAGATAAGATGGTAATGAGATGTTTTGGGGTGCAGAACGGATTAACCAGAGTTCCATTTTTTTTTTCAGTAAGGAAGTTTGTTTCTAAATACAAGAAATTCGCTATACGAGCTTAATGCTGGAACGAATTAAACTCGTATCTCGAGGTTCCATTGTATGTGTAATGATTAATATATGCCTAAATGTAGCAAGAATATTATAAACATATCACAACAAGGGTCTTATTAAATCGACAAAAATAATTTATACTTAATACTCCCTTTCTTTGATAAAAGAAGGTCACTTCTTTGGTGAAAGCAACTTGGAGGAGATAATTAAGCTGGTTTTCTGTCCAACCAAAGTAGTTATACTTTAAACTACCAAAAAAAAGTTAAAATAAAATACAACGCAGTTCATAGAAAAAGAGAAAGCTAATTCAGATATAACTGTTTACGCGGAACTAAACAAATCGCATTAACAGTAACTAAGCAACTAAGCTGAGATGTCTCTCTCCGGCTTTTTAAAGCTTTCAGTCGGTCGCGAGAGAATTCTAGTAATTTCTTTGCTTTTCGGGTTTTCTGGAAACCAACAGGGGGATGGAATTACGGTTACAGTTAACACAGTAATCAATTACATTTATTCAATTTCAATCCAAATTAAAGAGATATCCATCTATTCAATGCTAAAAGCACGTGTTCTTATATTTTTACTTTTTCGGCGTAGCTTTCTCTTAAAATTTATCACGCCCTGCATTGCACGGGGAAATAAAACAATTTTAATTACAATTCTACTAAAAATATCTAACTAAATACAAAATTCGTAACAATATGATATTCTTAATCGTAGTGAAGATAAATATTTCGGCAACAAAGGTTTGGTTGGTTTACAGCAAAACACGCGAGGGCTATCAACCTAAGGGAGGGATGCCTTCATGAAGAACTTCCTAAAGAAAACTGGCTGGCTCGTATTCATGTTACCCATAGGGAAAACTACGAAACCTCCCATGCATCCAGCCCATTCGCCGGGTTTCGAACCCGGATCGAACTACTCGGCAAAAAAGGTAACGAACTTGCAGACGCTGCAACAAGGAATGTCGCTGAAATATCTGACAAACCCGTTCCATTTTAGATATAAGATCTGATGTCCTGCACACAAGTAGTAAGTTTTGGAGGATTAAAAAACACGGTATAGCACTATGGATCAAGTACAGTTCAGAAGAAAAAAGTTTTTCTAAATCGGTTATTAATATATGTTTATATAGTGTCACAGGTGCTACTTTGGTAGACGGTTGCACGGATTTTTGGCGATTTACGTTGGCGCAATTGTTGGCGTGATTTTTACAATCTTCAGCCATTTTGAAAAACGCTGTTTTTACGTTATTTTACGCATAGTAAAGTATTCGAAACTTTAAAAAAATAAATACGTTAAAAATAATGGATTAATTTTTTGTTAAAAATGTTGTTTTTTAAGATGGCAGGCAAGTGTAAATAAATACATTTACTATGAGTATAAAATACTAAGTAAGGCTATTATTACTTTCATATAGCAAAAAAGAGAATAAAAAAACACCTCTATAAAAACATTGTGCTAACGTTTAATTAGATTAAAATATTACTGAAATTGAATATCGAATTAAAAACCATCCTACCAACATTTAAAAGAATTAGAATATTATTAAATTCAAATACTTTAAAATACGTTATATAAAATATAATTAACATTAAAACATATGTGACAATAATTATCTCAGCAATTTTTGAAAATAGTGTATTAATTTTTTAACAAAAATTGAAGTATACAATTATAAAATAAAAGAAAAATATGTACTTACATTTTTTTGAGTAATTTAACCTCTTGTTTATTGATAAGTACCACAAAAAAATCGAAATCATAATTGAATCGGCTCTTTTAACCATCTTCATCTGTTATCCACATATCTCGCACTTCATTGAAGAGGCAATTAGCGAGGTTTCCTCCAAAAATTTTAAATAAGTTTCCTCTGATGCTATTAACAATTTATAAATAAATCTTTGATTAGGAAAGACAGGTTGGCCAAAATAAGGTCTCAAAAGGCAATTTTTTTATTCCGATACCAATAATTCTTGGTAATTACCAATAACAACATTCATCTTCAAAACAGAGATATCCATTCCATTTGAAATCTGACGAATTCGAAGAGATGAATAATAAAATTTTAAAATGGCGCGGTAATGCACAAATATTCAGTAACCAATCAGAGAGCTGATTACATCACGCATAGAATTAAAATTATTTAAATAATCATTCATAATAAAATCATTTTTAAAACAAATGCAAAATTAAATTGTATTTTAATATTTAACAGCCATAAATAATGTTTAAAACATTAGATTAAATTTATAGATATTAATAAAACCAATTACTTTTTAAGTAAGGTGACGTCATTGATTACATCATCAACAACATAAAATTATATAAAATTATAAACAACAAAAAATTTTTATTTCAAATAAAAATGTAAAATTAAATTGATTTTTAATATTTAGAAGTCATAAATAATATTTAAAACACGGAAGTTATGCATAATAAAACTCATTATTTTTTAATAAAATGACAACAAAGTATCGGTTACCATAAATAACTTATCCAGCAATGGGTTTACCATAAGTTGTATTACTCGCCAAAGAAAAATCGCCAAATTCTGAGTCTACCAAAGTAGCACCGTGTCACATTCTGAGTGTACCACAGGTGTCTATCATGCCACGTATAAACATTAATGATGAGAGTGAACCTATTTACATAAAATGTAACATAATATTTGTCTGCATCGCACATTTTAATCAATTACTCATCTTTTAACCATATCCGAATAGTTTAGCTGTATTAATTTAACGTTAGTTGAACCACTAACTGAAAGGAACTGAAAGGATACCTACTTTAGCTAGTGTAGCTTTAATCCTCTTTATTTACCTTTCTATAGTTCATACGGTTCAGAAAGGCAGGAAATAATTCATTTTCCTTTACTATAGTCTTTGATTTAAAGACAATTAACCAGAGAAGTTTTTGACGTTACGAATACATCATGGAACATCAAAGAAAAATGTAGTACTTAAAATTGACATATTGTATATTTTAGGTGCAGTAAGAAGATTTTTGAGTTTAACGTTCGATCTACTAAAGGATATTTTAAACGTGATAATAACTTTAAGAGATTTCTTAACTTTTTAAATCAAAATAAAACACTTCTGTACCACAGATATCTTTAAATAAGGAATCCAAGTTATTATTATTTAATTAATTAATTCAAATTTCTGTCCTGTCTTTTACATAGTAAAGATGTGGATAATTTTAAGATCAATACTGTTATTTAAATTTAATTATATTAGTTATTACGATGTATGTTAAATATAAAACTATGTAAACAATTTTTTTAAAATAATATTATAATTTAATTTATTGTAATTATATTAATTATGTTAAATGTTATTAATTGAATATTTTGCATTACAAATTGAGTGTTGATATTTATTTTAAACTGCCTTTTCTTCAGCCCAGAACTTTTTATTTTTTCATTCCGCATAGCTTTGTAGTTAGATGATTTCCCTGCCTATTAGGTAACACCATCGCCCTGCTTTTAAAATTACTTTTGTCAAGACTCTCAGGAGACGCTGTTAAAACGAGGTTTGACTCACAGTGTGGTTTACAATTCTGAAACTCGCAATGAAAATAATTTTTATAAAATCATTTGTGTAACTAATAAATTCATTTAAACTGTTTACAGGGTCTTCACTGTCTGGATAATCCTCACTTCTTCAGAAAGCGTAGAGTCCTTGGGCATGGAGACTTATTATAACCTCCTTTACTTCTGCAGACTCTTGCTCTACATGAATTCTGCCCTCAACCCCATCCTTTATAATGTAATCTCCTCCAAATTTCGAAGCTCCGTCATCAGGCTACTGCGCTGCTCGCGCGTAAGGAGCCGGCTTCTTACGCGTCAGGTCACCAAGGGTACGACGACTTCCAGCACAGCCACCACCAGTGGAAGTGTTAAGAAAGACAACAAAAGCCAGGTTGTGGCTGCGCACAGTACCTATTCCCTCTTCCGGGCAACAGGAAAGAATCCCAGGCCACAACACGTGTAGGTTCCTTCCATTCCAGTCGTCTTTGTGCAATTTCATAGCTATTTCGGGATTTTCCTAACCAGGCCCATTTAATGCCGTGGATTTTGATTCAAGTATTAAAAAGAGCAACTGCGAGGACAACAATTTTCGTGAATGATATGATTTCAACCCTTCTTAGTTGTTGTCTCAAGTTTCCAACTACTGAAAAAGTATTCTTCTGAAGGAAAATCAGAAGCGGTTTTACAGAACGAGTGTCATGGTGCAACTTATCGTAACATCGAGGAAGACAGCAAGGTATAGACCGTTGCATCCAATAGCACCTATCAGGATTTAGTGCTATTGAAATAATCCCAATTCATAGCATTCCAACAGATTCATCATCATATACATAATTTCAGAGCATCCATCATAAGTGGTCGCTAAGTCGTGGATTATTCAACTGCTCCGTTATGCGAGTTATCTTATGGCAGATTTTTTATAACTGATATCATTCATTCCTCAATATTTGAATGATGTGGTTATAATAAAAGAGAACACCTGAATCTAAATCTAAAGATGGCATGAAAAGGAACTTTGCAGTACATTGTAAGTATCACGTAGTCGTATATGTTGCTGGAGTACTTGCAGTTCTGCTTTGCTGAAGTACTTGCGATTCGCCATCTTACATATAACCTCCTGACGAAAAAGTGCTTCAGGGTCCATACATTTTCCCTATTAACCATATTTAAGTATTTTCTAGGAAAATTATAGATACTGTAAAAGAAACTTATTGCAAAAGGAATTAGAAATAAACTTTGATTGTCTGATTGCATGTCTTTCATGTCATATTATTAAACTAACCATTTATCTGTTTAAGAACTTCAACAATGATTACGTCATTTATCAATCTTGTGAAATCCATATAACCGAAACTGTCAATGAAAAGCTGTCATTTATGAAACACTTCTTTCACCTTGTTACATTATGTGATGTCTGTTTCGAATTGTTCCTAATGATGCAATTAAAAATCTCAGCTGATTGGCAGCATCTCAATTAAATGAAACAAACTATGAAAGATTACACATTTATCTGACTGCCTACTTCGGAGCTGAGTGGATCATTATGGTGCATCTTTTAGTTCTTAACATCATATTTCCATAATATTTCTGAATGTTGATGAAGAAACTTGATTGGCTTGTATCGTGTAATAATGGGTGCTGTAAATATTTCCAGAAGGGATTTCTTTCATTTAACTCTTATGGCTTGACACTTACAGGTGAATCGCTGTCTCAGAAAATTATTATAAGTGAATAACAAGAAACAGCTCGGCTTTCCAGTAATCTTCTGATGATGTCTTTTACACCACAAATAAAGTTTATTGCATACAAAACGCAACGGTGCTTGTGTCGACAGGGAAAATTTCAAGTTCACGATAAAAATGTCACATTTAGCAATGTAGTATAAAAGCGATTAAGGACTTATCATTCTTCTCTACTCATCTCGCTTTTTCAGGCATCCAAAAAATAGTCCAAAGAGAGACTTAATATAAACTTAATGGGAAAATATTATTAATGCATTTTATGAAACATGGGAGAAGTTTTACCATGGACATGCAAACATATAAGTAGGGACTTGTTAAGTGAAGAACCGTTATCTAAACCGAAACTATTTTACCCACAAATTATTCTCGTTCGGCTATCAAATTATTTTCCAAATTACAGTACGAAGCTACCATCAAATTTAAAAAATTCAGTTTTATTCAGTCCAGTTCATAAGCAACTGCAAATCTGCAGGATAAAATATGAAATTTCAAAAGAAGTAGAAATAATGCCGTCCTGGAAAGTCAAATTTGCTGATTTATTGTTTCAATGGCTTTCTGGTTTATTTAAAAAACAAAGATATTACTAGAGCAAAAATTGCTGCTTTTAGATCTGTTACTTACCATAGAGGCATGAATGCACGAGGTAGAAATATGTATGTTTCGTTCAGAAGATAACAACAAATGTTTTCTTGCTGCGGTATTATTTGTATGCGACATATTTGCTTTTTGGTGGTGAAAACCTTGCTTTCATATTCTTTCCTGTCGCGAATTATGTAACTTTATAATATTAATTAGGACAGTAACTTCATCGCTGTGCAAATTATCGTCACTAATTTTAGAGGACATTCTAAGATTGTGCAAATATTATATTTTACCACAAAAATCGAGTAAATTCGCGAATTTCAGATTTATTCCCATTATTTTCTTAATTTCTAGTATAATTTTTAAAATATTTTTATATTTAAATAATTTTTATAATACTTTTTGTACGAATTTCTTTAAAAAAATGCTACAAATCGATACTATTCCGTAATCCAAACAAAAATCTTTTACCGAAGTTTAAATCTTCTTAAACAGCTTATCAATGCTCTCAAAAATTTGATTTCGTGCAATTTTTTCTACTTTTACATGAATGGGAAAAAAATCGGTGTATAATATGATATATAAATGTATTGCCCAGTTAAATGATAATCTTGAAATAACTGTGTTGAGTACATTTCCAGAATCTTATTGACTCATAAATGTAAATTTCATTTAAAAATTGCATTAACATGATAAGTAAACCAATACTTCCTAAATTTACTTCTGACACTTATCGCCCCATCTATCAAAACAACTCCAGCTCGGAAGAAGATTTAAACAACGTTTGCATTAAGTTCAGCTTCACTGCCAAAGCTCTCGCCTTAACTTTCAAAAAGTATGTTCATACATATACGTAGCTAACTTTCATTCCGGTTATAGCTGACTGAAATAGAAATCATAAAACAGATAAAATAATAAAATAGTGGGTTAACCAATATAAAGCTTATAAGTTATAGTATACGTAACATTAACGTTAATAATATTCATTTAGTTATATAGTAACCATTTATTTTATTCTTCCCTTTGTGGTAGAAAAGATGCTTTCGTGGAGAACTTTTCTTACAAAAACTCGATCTCTTTGAATGCATATTTTCCTGTTACCACCAAGTTCAAGTAATATTCAAAATGATTAGAAGCATTGCATAAAACTGATATCAAATCTCTGAGCCTGTTGACTACAATAATACAGTACTGCATGAAAATGGAATTGTGTATATAATTACATAATATTCGAAGAATAGCTATTACGAATCTCACAACCATTTTTTTCCCTCGCGCATAAAGTTTTTAAAAGGTACTGCAAACGAACCTTCGAATGTTTTCTTTTTTAGAAAGAGAAAGAATAGAAAAAGGCTCCCGTAATGTGAAAATAACGTACTGGAACTACTTGTACTTCTTGGTGCTTTTTCTTGTGAATTCATAACCCAATCCAGTGAAATGATGTTTTCCCAAGATATATTTATAGTATGTGTTTGCTACTTATACATTCTTGTTCGATGTTTTTTTCTGAGAAATTATAAAAGAAAAAAATTTTTTCTTTTATGAATTGTAAGACTTTGGAGCTTATGAAGCATTTTGCGCTGGCCGTTCTCTTTTTTGTAAAGTTCTATAAATGTCGGCCAATTTATGGTGCTCGTGTATAAATAAATGAATATTGTTGAATTGTTGTCAAAAGTGTGTTTATTATTGCTGTTGTTGTTATATGTAGAATTTTTCTTTAAAACACAAAATTACTTGAGGAAGACTGCGCAATATTTTCACAGCTGATGTAACACTGTTTCCTTCAATAGATCAAGAAAATGTCCTCATTTACGTCTATTCAACCTTAGGTACAATTTACAGCATTAACACTTTCATGATCTTCTCTATTAAAATTATAAACTATAAATGACTGACCTATAACTGGGTGTATTAAAATTTAAAAAATAGTGTTCTTGAAGACTACGTTAATACACAGCCGTATGCATGGGAGGGTGAGACAATTGAAATGAGTAGGTGAGTTTTCAGGTAAAAATTGTACATACCTATATATGATTACATCAGTAAAACTTTGTATAATATATGTCTAATATATACTTATGCACTACAGTATATCTCTATTATACATCATGTACACAAAAGTCTTTAACTGGCCTTTATTTTCGCAATTGTTAAACGCAAACATATTGTCATATATTGATCCTTTGATCTTTTCATCTTTGTCGGTTCGTTTTTCATCCATTTATGAATGTTATTAGTCGACTCTATTTGCAGGAAATAAACTGGGACACTTATGCAGTTTTAAGAATATAACATGAGCTATATTTTTAAATTTTGTAAATACACATTAACTTTTCACAAAATATTGCTTTTATTCACATTTACATCAAACGCACAAGTAATACATTGCAGCTCTCAGTTCTTAACAAAAAAAAAAAAAAAAAAAGAAAGAAAGAAAGAAAGAAAGACAAACTCTACTCTCGGAATACAGCCAAACTAATTTCAAATTTTTTCTCACGAGCATGCCGTCCTTCTCGCATCAAGCACGTTTCTTCTTTTCGTTGCCAGATTTTCTCCTCTCTCCTTTCAGCTATAAGTTGTTGGTTAAACTTTTCTTCCGGAAGGCTTGGTCGGTAGCATCCCCCTTACCGAGTATGTGCATGACACATATACTTCCAGTCACAAAAGTATTTTGAATAACTTAAAGAATCGTGTTCTAGACGTTCCTGTAGTCTCTACACTACTATTTAGGAAAATTTCGTACTCGTTATGAAAAATAAAACACAAAAGTTTCGACTCCAATATGATGAAAATTGTTCGATATATTTTATATTAAAATCGGGGAGCATATTCGGGGGGTCGGACACAAATTGAAGAGCGAAATGTTTGCATTTGTACGTAGCTAAAAATAAAATGTCGTTTAGAAAAATGTTTCTGATGTTAAGTGATTGCATGACGAACATTTCTATGCAGATTATAGTAAAAATACTTGTATCCATCAATACAATTTGTTTTCAAAATGGAGCTTTTATTCAATAATCCTACAGAATTCGTGTTCCAGAAAACATAAGCAGGTATTGGAACGTTCTTGTTCGATGTTTATCGAACAAGAACCAAAATGCAATGTTATTCGTTTTAACTAAAATTTTAAAATATTTGTATTTTAACGAATTTTTTGCGATTACCAGATGTGACTAAAAAATAATGAAACTTCATGAGAATATTAGTAATATATTTTTAGACTTCTTGTGTAAAATAGACTTCTTTTTAGACTTCTTGTGTTTAGATTTCTTGTGTAAAATTTCTTTCGGAATAAAAATGAAACAAAATTAAAAATAAAAATAAGTAAAAAAAGTCTGAAAGCTTTCAGATTTCATATTACACTCAAAGAGGCGTTTTTAACGTTTCCTGTGCTGCCTTTATTTATTAAATATCGCGTTCTTCACACTTAATCCATAAAATTCAATTCAGCAGCAATATCGCACAATAATATTAAAATAGATATATCTTTAAAATTTCCGATTATTCCCCCCCCACACACCTATACAATATTGTCATTGCTCGCTTTGAAATCGTTAAGTTTGTTAATCAAAAATTCGTTGAAGTGTTACAAAATATGCAATCGATAATAAAACAATTTCAAATTCCAAATTAGGGCTTCCAAATGCCCATATTCGCAGGAGGATCATGTTATTCAAATTTTCAAATTTTGATGGCTCTAGGTACCGTTGTTTTATCACAATGCGAGAAACATATGTACATTTATGTAGATTCTTCATTATTTAATTTCTTTAAATATAATACAGTGTCTAATATTTAGTGGCAACAATTTGAAAAGTAAAACAACGCTTGTAGTGAATCAACGCAAAATGCCAAAATGAAATTAATAGCCCTTCTGAGCAAATTACCCCTTTGGGCTAAAAAATCTGAAAGCTTCCAGATTTCATATTACACCCAAAAAGGCGTTTTCTTTAACATTTCGTGTGTTACCTTCATTTATAAAATATCATGTTCTACGCGCTTAAACCACATAAAATTCCGTTCAACCCCAGTATCACAAAATATTTAAAACAGCATATCTGACGAATTTCTGGTAGAAAGTCGCATGCGCTGGAGATAAAAATGTACCCCCCCCCCTCCCGTTCAGCGTTGTCATTGCTTGCTTTGAAATCGTTGGATTTGTCAATCTAAAATTCGTTAAAGTTTTACGAAATGTGAAATACACAATGAAACAAATTCATAATTCAAAAGTTGGGCGCCCATGTGCGTATGTTGGGATGGAGGCTTAAGTTATTCAAAATTTGATGGCTCTAGGTACGGTTTTTTTTTTTTTTTTTTTTTTTTACTATGCGAGAAACATACCTACATTCATGCAGATTCTTCTTTATTTAGTTTCTTTAAATATAATACAGGGCGATAATATTTGGTGGCAACAGTTTAAATGTGATTCGCAGTTTATAGCGAAACTCCCCAAAATGTCGTTTTGAGACTAATAGACCCTCTGGGCTACCACCCCTTTAGGCTAAAAATTAAAATATTAGTATTCATAAAATAATATCATTGAATATCATTTAAGGGAAAATACAGTAAGACCCCGCTTAACGCGGATGATACGTTCCATCAAAGTAGAGCGTAATGCGAAACAGCGCTAAGCGAGGCTATCTTAACATGTAAATAATGGGGTTAGGGGAAGACGGATAAAAAATGGTTAGGTATTAAATTGAATAATTTTTTTTAATAAAAATAAAATCAAACATTTATTTCTTACAAAAATAAAAAAAAATATAAACGAATATACTTTTAAAAACAAATAAAATTTTCAGTCAGATCATTCAGTCTATTCTGGGTTTCCAATTTTCTGCCTTTTTGTGAAGAAGGCATTATGATAGATTGGCTTAATGGCATATTGCTTTCAATTTCGTAGTCAATCCATATAGAGAGTCGTTTTTCCACTTCCTCTATAATGTTATTTCTAGAACGGGTAATTCTAGTTGCAGAGCTTGACGTAGTTGCAGTTGCCAATGACAGTATTTTTTCTTTATTCTTAAAAATTGTCCTTATTGTTGAAGTTGCCAAATTCAATGCAGCACTAATTTGAGATTGACGTTCACCAGAATCTAATCTTCTAATCACTAGCATTTGAGTTTCCAGTGAAATGCTTTTTCTGGTTGCTTTCTTTTCTTGTTTTTTATTATCACCCATGATAAAAACTAAAGATCATAATATTTGTCACTGTATTAATCGTTATAGTATTATACAAACTTACAATAATGTCAACAAATGTTGTTTCAAATGATAAAAATGCGTCCACCAAGCAAGAAACACAACTACACTGTTTCGGATATGTTATTTGGAAACCTAGCGCTGCGCACAATTTCGGAGAATCCCCGGGTTGAAATAAAAGAGCGCTAAACCGAAACAGCGCTAAACGAAACAGCGTTAAGCGGGGTCTTACTGTAATTGCCCTCGAATTATTCTAATTTATTTATTAACCGACCCTTCAATAAAAATTCAAAATGACATCAATATTGTAAATTTTGAACTTACATATCTCGGTCAATTTTTGTCGTACATGTGCCAAACTTTCGGTGTCACATTTTTCATAATAAGTACAAAATTTTCTTAAATATAAGTATGGGAACTAGAAGAATATATAAAAAATTAGATTTAGCGATATTTACGAAATCGATATCTTTAAATTAAAAAATATCAAAATATGAATTTGTGAGTCATTTAAAACATTTTTGTAGCTGTAAGTATATGTGTACGGCCAACGCTTTCAAAACTAAGAGTCAGGAAATACTTTCGTGGGCACAGTATATAGTTATACGTATGTTTTGGAAAAATTGCACGAAAATTTCAATTAACGGCAAGTAGTTATGAGGGAAACGATATACTGTAGAGACATTAAGTATTTTTTTTGGAAGCAGGAAAGATGAAAAATTAGCAACGCCATCGCCGGGAATCGAACCACGGACCTCTGGAATACGCGCCCAACGTGCAGACCACCACACCACAAAGGCATGCCAAGAAGGCGGGAGAAATACCTTATATACTTACCCCCCTCTTTTAAAGGGCTACAAGGGTTTTTAGAGGACCCAATGGCCAAATCCCGGGTGTGGAGAATCATCATCCATCGAGAGCCACTGTTGAGACATTAGGTATTTTTTTGGAAGCAGGAAAGATGAAAAATTAGCATCACCTTTGCCGGGAATCGAACTGCAGACCTCTGGAATACGTGCCCAACGTGCAGAACACCACGAAGGTGAGAGAAATACCTTATAATACATACTTATACGTAATACATTAGTAAAACGCTCCATAATGGATGTCTTCAGTCTTTTCCCTTAAAATAGACACTTCAAGCCCAATGTTAGCTTGCCTCATCTGCAATCATAAGTATCATCATCACTTTCATTATTGTCGGGGGGGGGGGGAAATAAATTACAACAATGTTACCAAATAGGTTTCGACATATCTACTAAAGATATCAAAAACAATTATATGTACGTCTCAAAAAAGAAGCAGAATATTTTCCCAGAGCGATATAATTACAATCTATTAACATAAAGCCACCAAAAGTAGGAAAAAAAAAGTTTTTTTTTTTAAATTCTTTTCAAACTTCATTTTGAAGAAAACCCTGCAGAGATTATTAGGTTTATAGAAACAAGAAACGTGAAAAATCAAGT